TCGGGGTAGACCAGTTAGGGATTGTGCCTGAAAAAGCAGATAGAGCAAGAGATAGAAGAGCTGAGGCTGGGTCCCTGTACTTAGGAAGCCAGCTGCTCTGTGGCTTACTAGTGTGGTTTGTTTTCTGTTTGGGATTTTTGGGGGGGGTTTGTTTTGTTTTGATTGGTTGTTTGGTCTTGTCTTGTGTTCGAAGCAGGGTTTTGCTGTGTGGCCCAGGCTGACCTAGGAACTGCAGCCCTACTCTGGCCTCAATCCCCCAAGGCTGGGGGCTGCTGTGTGAGCCACCCTTCTTTGAATGCCTGGCCTCTGAGCCTGTATCCTCCTTCATACTGTACCGGCTCCCAGGAATTATGGTCAGAATTAGAAGCAGCTGCCACTGGGTGGACTTAGCCTGGACGTTGCCAGAGCTGCTCTAACTCTGATGCCTCTGTTTGCCCCAGGCGCGCTTGACCTGCCCCTGCTGCAACACCCGCAAGAAGGATGCAGTGCTGACCAAGTGCTTCCACGTATTCTGCTTCGAGTGCGTGCGTGGCCGCTATGAGGCCCGCCAGAGGAAGTGTCCCAAGTGTAACGCAGCCTTTGGTGCCCATGACTTCCACCGTGTATACATCAGCTGAACCTGAAACTCAGGGGACTTTGAAAGACCCGTATACCCTAGGGGCTGTGCCCCCAGCTCCCTGCTCCTCCAGAGGCAGTGGCCCCAGCCTCCTTTCTAGACTCCATGAGCTCAGCCCCTATGTACCTAGATGGTTTGGGGCTACTGGTGCACGCAGGAGAGGTGGAATTAACCAAGCGGAGTGCCATCTTTTCCAGAAAGTCAGATCTGCAGCCTAGGGCACTCTCCCAACATCCAACTGTGGCCTTGGGAGCTGGCTTAACCCTATTTCTGCTGGGGGGAAAGACCCATCCTTACCCCTAAAGGGGAATTATTCCTCCACTAGGAAAGGGCTTATTGCCTGCCTACACAACCTCAGTGATGACCAGGGACCCTTTGCTTGGCATTGGGGCTCGGGGCTCAGGGCCCAGGAGCCTTTCTTCACCTAGGTGGCTCCAGGCCTGGGCAGGGCTTTAGCCTTCCTGTGGAGTTAAGTTCCTTGTACCCTGGTGTAGCTTTTGTGCTGAAGAACGTGCAGCCTTGGGTGTCTGCCCTATTCAGGGAAGCTTGCAGTTCCGGACACTGCCTCCTCGTAGCGCTGATTCAGGGTCATCCATTTCTTTATCCAGACACTTCCCAACCCTCTTACCCTTCCTTCCCTGAGCACCTGGCCCTCGGCCTGCTTTCATCCTGGTTGGTGGTCCTATGTGGAGGTGCAGCTGGCCAGGAGGGAAGGGACAATCTAGCACTTCCAGTCATTCCAGGTAGAGAATTGGCCTATTGCTCTGTGGCTAGCCTGTACTCGGATGCTCCCTGCGGTACCTGCCTACACAGTCAACAGTGAAGACAGGACCCGGCGGAGCTGGGAGCCGGCGCTGCAGACAGCTACGGGATCTTGTGGACTCACAGCCTCTGCTCTAGAGGTGTTGTGTATGGGCTGCTAATTGTTACGAATAAATATCCAACCGTAGGCTGCAGAGTAGCCAGTCCACTTGGTCTACACATAAATCTAGGTGCTACACCTGGCTGGCAATTCCCTGGGTTGATGTGGATCTGGGGTTGGGAGCTGGGCACATCTGAGAACCCGCTCCAGCCCACCCAACAACTGTGGGCCCCACTGAACAGTGGCCAGCTTATCTGCAGAGACCTGTTTCAAGGGGAAACCCAAGTCAGCTCACACAGGCTAAGCCTTTGGTTAAGGGTTGGCCACGCCCTTAGCGTTCATTGGCTGTTCCGGATAGCAGCTTTTGGGTTGCATCCTGGGAGATGTAGTCCCTTACCTCGCAAGGCAAGGTGTCTGTTGTGCTGACCAAAGACGGACCAATCTTTCGGTCTGTTACTTGCCGTCTTTACCCACCCCTACTCTGAACGCACAGACCACGACACCTCTGCACGGTGATTTTTCATTGTATCCTGCTCCGGCCACTATCTGGACCCTCGGAAACCAGTTGCCCAAACGTGAAGTGTTGCTTCTGAATTCAAAGTGCTGTCGGCTCCTCCGGTGGAGCTTTCGTGGAAGTTACGCTGGGACTAGCTCCGTGGCCGGTGCTAAGCGGGGTTGGGGTTGGTGTGGAAGAGACAGTCATAACCATGGTAGTGGCCTCAGGTTTAGCAATAGCAGTGCCCTCTCGCGGCTCTTCGGCCTTTTCTGCCGGTTTGCCTTCGTGAGGACTTCGGGCCCTTTCTGCTTTCTGACCCCGCCTGGTTTCAGTGGGGTCGCAATGGCTAAACCAAGTTGGACTGGAGACAGAAATGCGGGCTACGGTGACCTCTGGTGTGGAGGTGGCAGCGATGGGAACGCTAGCGGAAGCACGAGTCGCGGCAGGGGATGACATTGGGCCACCAAGAGAGCCACCCGACTGGAGTGGTTAAGGTGGGAAAGGTGGGAGAAACGCAGGGTATTGCATCATAGAGCCACAGCCTCCTGAGCTAGAACTAGTGTCGGAGAGCTCTGTGCGCCAGCTCATCACCAGCTCTCCAGCACAATCCTAAGTCACAGCCGTATGGACTCCTTAAGCACATGCACACCGTTCCCTTAGAAGCAAGTCCTCTTTTTTTTTTCTCCAGGTAGTGTTTACTGATTGATTGATTGATTGATTTGTTGTAGCAAGTCCTCTTATGAGGTACTCAAACCTCCACGTGGGATGGTAACCTCTAACAGTATAATGTAGAGCAAACCACTTCAGACTCAAAGAGAATGGGCTAAAGGCCCCAGGATCCCAGTGCCTGAAGCAGTATTTCCACCTTAGCAGGGCAGTGAAAACAAACTATCAGTCTGTTACATGGATGCAGAATTTGTCTTAAATGGCTTTCTTTGCTGTCAGGGTCACAGCTAAGTGAGCCAGAACTCTCCCCCTGGCCAACTTCTGGCAAGCTGGAGATAAAGGTTGCCCCAACATGTGATGGGACCACTCCAGAACTTACCCCAGACTTTAGTTGCTGCCTTCCTTGGCTTGCCTAGTGGTCACTGCCTTCTGAGCTCTTTCTTCAGCCATAACCAGACTTCCCTTGGCACTTGGCCTTTCGGTGAGGTGTTTACCAAGGACCAAGACTACAGTTGAGCTGCTGACTCCCAAACCCTGCAGTTCTTTCCCAAGCACCAGAGCCGAAAATCAATGTTTAAAGAGCGTGAGGGATGGCATAACTCAGTCTCTCGTAATACTGACCTTCCTCAGGCTTTGGCCTCTGCCCTGGCTGCATCTCCATCGCTCCCTTACGCTGTGATGCACTGCTTCTCAGCCTTCCTAACGCTGTGACCCTTTAATACACCTCCTCATGTTGTAGTGACTGACCATAAAATCATTTTCATTGCTACTGCATAACTAATTTTGCTGTTATGAATCATGATGTAATTATCTGTTTTTCAGTGGTCACAGTGACCCCGTGAATAGGTTGTTGTACCCCCAAAGGAGTCATGACGCACATGTTAAGACTGCGGCTCTAAATACGTCAATCCCCAACTGTTTGATTCTTCTAACCCCACCCCACTCCTGACTTCTATACAGAGAATCTCCTCTTCCTGAGACCCCTATACCCTGGAGTTCCTCCAAGTGTCGCAGGTGTGACCTTGGGCTTTTAGATCAGTTGGTGTTCCTTGCCCAACTGAGGATTCTCCCAGGAAAGAGACCAGTCTTGATGTTCCTTAGTGTTCCCAGGGCTCGGGACCCAGGGACATGAAAAGTCAAGTCCTGGGGCTGGAGAGATGGCTCAGAGGTTAAGAGCATTGCCTGCTCTTCCAAAGGTCTTGAGTTCAATTCCCAGCAACCACATGGTGGCTCACAACCATCTGTAATGGGGTCTGGTGCCCTCTTCTGGCCTACAGGCATACACACAGACAGAATATTGTATACATAATAAATAAATAAATAAACATAAGAAAAAAAGAAAAAGAAAGGTCAAGTCCCCCTCCCCAGCCCACCCATCAATTCTAGGAACAGAAAGGGGGGGGGTGGGGGGGAGGGAGGGAGAGAGAACTCATTCTGGGATGTGGGCTAGAGGCACAATAAAACTCAAGGGAAGTCTACGGACATGCCTGAGGTGTTAAGAGCGCTGGCTGCTCTCTCAGAGGACTGGGGTTCAATTCCCAGCACCCACGTGGTGGCTCACAGCCATCTGTAACTCCAGTTGCAGGGGATCTGTCTCCTCTGCTGGCCTTTGCAGGCACTGCATGCACATGGATGCTCAGACATGAATAAGACACCATGCACATCAAGATTTTTTTTTTAATTAAAAAAATTAAGGGCCACGCCTTTCTGTCTCCAACAAGTGTCTTTAACAGATGGGCAGAGACAGGCTGTGGCTAGTGTTGATCATAGGCAGCCTCAGGGGCCTATGAACAGACTCAGAAGAGAGTGCTGAAGGCAGCCTGGCCCTGAGGACCTCCTTACAATCGTCCCCACTGCCTTAGCCAAGGAGAGGAGTAATGGCTGGTGTGAGGTGGCCTGCAGGCCTCCAGGCTACTCTGACTTCCCACATGACATACTGGGGGTCTTGGGTGCTGTACTTCCAGAGCATCAGTCTCTCCCATGGGAGAACCTATAGGCCATCCTGGGGACGGACAAGAAGCCAGGGCACCACTCCCTCGGAAAGGACAGGTCACAGGATCCAAAGGAACCCCGAGAGGTAACTGGCAGCTCTGAGGACTAGGTTCCCTGTGGTCCCTGGAAGGCTGCAGTACTGGGCCTAAGGTAACCGGTACCAGGGCCACCAGGCAGCCATCTGCCTTACCAAAATGTTCTCAATCCCTCATGAGGATATGGATTCTTAAAGCTCCGTGAGCCTGTCAATCTTCCACAAGCAAACACTGGACCTTTGGGGTCCTCATAGACCCTCATCTGGGAGAGGACAAGTTCTGATGAGCTTGCTGTTGGCTGAACACGTAGAAAGGAATAAGAGAAGACGCCCGGGAACCTTGCTCCCTTTATTCTCTTCAACTACGGAACATGACGACTGGCGACACAACACTGGTACTGACACACAACACTGAAAACGGGGACTTCCCCTCACTCCATAGGCAGAAGGCAAGTGGGCGGGGCTTCCTTTGCTTGGGACCCGCTCACTTCCGACTGGGAGGTCAGATGGTTTCAAGTCCTCTCCCCAATTATGATTCATACCCAGTTCCTTTATGAGTTCCTACTTGACCCCATATTCAGCATCAGTTCTAAGTTTTCCCTAAGTGCAGATCAGCTCCACCCTCTCCCATGCTTGGACTCTGCCCACGGTTGCTGGGCTCTTCCCCAGGTGCTCTTCTGAGGGCTCTGGTCCAGGATAGAGTTAGCTCCATTATGCCTCCCATACTCAGTACCTCTTCCTGAGCCAGTTAGAAGGATGCCAGGCCCTGCAACGGATTCCTCTGTGGTGTAGCTGGGTGTGAGAGGGAGGTGGCCCAGAGAACAGGTCTCACCACAAGGTCTCTCTCTGCCCTTTTCCTACTAGGAAGTCCAGGCACCACCTATGCACATGGTCCATTCAGTACTGGAGTCGAGACCACAGCCCTCACTTGTCTCCAGAACATGTGAGCATCCTATCCCATATGCTACATCTTAGTCCTCAACAGTCTAGTTAGCCATGACTACACTGAGCACCTACCCTCGGCAGTCTTCTGATGACAGACTCTCAGGCTTGGGTCACAGGGAGCCTGCCCCTAGTTTTACAAAGGATAACTCTAGTTTCTGCTACCACCTTAGAGGGGGACGAATCAACTTATACTTAGGAGAGTATCTACTCCATTTTATAAGGACACCCCTTTATCAGTATTTCTGTCACTATCAGATGGGCTCCTCTCCATCTCACGGTGCTTCCCCCGACCTGATACTTGGGACCCTAGCAAGGCTCTCCTGTAATTGTATAAGGCCTGCCCTTTCTCTCTCCCCAGGAGGACTGGCATTTTTCTCCCAGTATTCTAGATTTTGGTCCTTTAAATTTTGAGGGTCATCTATCTGGGAACAGGATAGATGAAGGATGATGGGCCTCTACCTTTTGAACTTTTAGGTAATGGAATTAGATGTCTCTTCCTCAGCATTGGAGGGATCCAGGTCACTCTTGGGTACAGGACTCCTAGAGCCATATTATGTGGTATCTCAGTCCTCCTACTCTGGATAGTGTGTCACTAACAACAGCACTGAGTAAGGACACTCTTTTTGCAACCAAAATACAGGGGAGAGTCCTTCCCAACTTTAAGGGTCTTCGTCACAGATGTTTCTCGCCAAAGTTTTTCTCCAACCACTTTATAGGGCAACTGTCTCTGGTCCATCACAGAGCTCCAGTCATGTAAGCAGGTTTGGCTGGATGAATGGTCTAGCCTGTGCTGTCTGAGGAGGAGATGGACCTGGCAGAGGAGCACGTCTCATCCTTTAATTTCCCTCCAGTGGTTTCTGGCTAAGGAGAGAAAAGCCAAAAGGATCAGATGGAATCTGTCCCTTCCCCGAGCCAGGATCAAATTTGCCACCCCACCTCAGGGGCATCCAGGTATTGGGGATGAGAAGGTGGTCAAGTTTCCATTGCCTCTTCGGGAACTCTGGTCCAGTCTGTGCCATGTGTCGAACCGCCATGTGCAGCCCGGCTCACCCTGCAGGCAGCCTTACACAGAGTTCACACGAAAGGCTGAGGTTTGACTCTTGTTGCTGGTAAATCAAAGCTGCCTGTTCTGTTGTCTTGCCACCCCTCGTAACCAGAGAACCCACAAGTGGCTCTCTCTCATGAACTTGTAGAAGTCCAGGGAGGACAAGAACATACAAGCCTTGTATCTCTGAAGGAATCTATTCTTTGGAAGTTGACTAGCAGCGAGTGGCTCTCTCCACGGAGGACAGAATTCGAGGAAACGGGTTGCCACTGCAGTAAACCTTGTGGCAGTTAGCTTTCAGGTAAAACCTGTGAGACCTGAGAATGTGGCAGAGGCCCCCTGAAACCCCAGAGGCCTCTCAGAGTAGACATCCCCAGCTGGGCTGGGGAAAGGCTGGTCCTGCCTGTCTGAGGAGAACCCTGACGGCCTGAACTGGGATCTGCTTGCACTTGAAGCTTACATGCTCCTAGGAGGAGGAACTGGCTAGCTTCCAGCTGCAGTTTCTCCACCGTGCTCTGCTTCCCTTCAAACAGGCTTAACTTTCCCCTAATAGCTGAGGTGGTTTCTCAACATTTTCTCAATAGTCTTACTTACACTCAAGGTTGGTTATACACCCCAAACTCCAGCCTTTAAAATGGCTTGTCATTTCTGGGGGGCTCTTATTGATAAGGAACCCCCCAGTCTTCCTTTCCCTAGTACATGCAATTCACCAAAGAACCTCTAGTGCAATGGATGTCTTCTCTCACCTGTGGGTCTGGAAGCGCCTGGCCATTCCCTCCCCACTTCTCTTCCTTTCTAGCTCTACTGAGTTCCTGCACAACTTCCCTGCTGAGCGCGCTCCTCTATCCAAGGCTGTCAGGAGAGAATACTACAAGAGTTCAGGTGTTTTCCCCGCCATCCAGGGCACCTCCCAAGTCAGTGCCGACTGTATTGCCTATACCTCCCCCACCCTAGAAGATTCTGAGAAGGATTTTAATACAGTTTTATGGGTTTGTCTAGAGACGTGTTAGAACCTCTTCCTACGGTTAACAGGGCTTTTACCCACTATGGTTTATAGGGTTTCTCTGCTACAGACTTAAAGGGCTTTTTTCCTACATATGTATGGGGCTTCTAACCCAGCAGTTTTTCTCTACGGCTTATAAGTGGTCCCCACCCACAATCTCATAGGCTTCTCACCGCTGACGCAAAAGCACTAATTCTTCCCAGGGTTCTTGGCCCTCCACTTCTCTACGACCTGATGGGGTTGGTTTCCTTTCCCCACAATTTCTCAGGAGAGAGAGGTCCCTGGTCTCCAGACCTCCTTCACAGGGAGACCCCTGGGTGACAGCTCCTGTGGAGGAGGAGCGTTGCGACTTCTGTGAAGCCATCGCCACATTCAGGGCACAGATAGGGCTTTTCCTCTGGGAGAGTTTTAGGACTGTCCTCTTCCCTGTGGCTGCTGCTCTTTGGGGGCGTAGAGGCCTCTCCCTCGTCTTCCTGGTTTGTGGACAAGGTGACTGACTCTGAAGGGGGGTCCTCAGGAGTGGGGGCCCTTTCTTGAGTGTGGGTTTCCTGGTGGCGGGTAAGAGCTAGCCGGTCGAGGAAGGAGGCCCCACAATCAGAGCAGCTGTAGGGTCTGGCCCCCAAGGGGCTCCTGAGATGTTCCAATAGCACTGAGGAGCTCTTCCCCAGCTCCGAGCTCTTCTGGGACTTCCCGCCCGCATGGACTTTCTGGTGCTGCAGCAACTCAGAGCTCAGGCCAAAGCTTTTTTTGCATTCTGGGCATTTAAAGGGCTTCCCACTTAGGAAGGAACTGGGCTCTGCCCCTTCCCCAAGGCCAATCCTACACTCAGGAAAGAGAAAGGGCTTTTCATTGCCATGGGTTAGCTGATGCTGCAGGAGCACCGCCCTGTCGAGGAAGCTTTCTCCACAGTGGGGACAAACATAGCACTTAGAGGAGAGTTGACCCAGCTTTTGGCTGAAGCCCTCCTGACCCTCAGGCACTTTTAAGGACTGTCCTGGGGGGTCAGCTCTGCTCTCCGAAGCACCTGGATGTGAATTGCCCCCAAAGGGGAGCCTAGGGGAGCGGAACTGCGGAGGCTTGGAGGTCGGGTGTGCTATGAGACCGTCTGCATTTTTGTAGGGGTTTTCTCCGATATGAATCCGCTGGTGCTGCATGAAGATGCCCTCGTCATTGAAGCCCTTGCCACAGACCAGACACTTGTGAGGTTTGGCCCCCGGTGGCGGGGTCAGCAGGGCAGGATCCCCAAGTCCTAGCAAGCTGTCACTCTGAGCTCTCCGGGCAGGTGTCTTGCCTCTCTCATGGATCACGCGGTGCTGCTCCAGCTCCTGAGCCTCCAGGAAGGCCTTGCCGCAGTCTGAGCACACAAAGAGGTTCTCGTCCATGTGCGTGCGGACGTGCGTAATGAGGTTGGAGCTCTGGCTGAAGCTCTTGCCGCACTCGGGACACTTGTAGGGCTTCTCGCCCGTGTGCGTGCGGCGGTGCTGGATGAGGTGCGAGCTGCGAATGAAGCTCTTGCCACAGTCGGAGCACTTATAGGGCTTCTCGCCGGTGTGGATCCGCTGGTGGCGGATGAGCGTGGAGCTCATGATGAAGCTTTTGCCGCAGTCGGCGCAGATGTACGGCCGCTCCCCACGGTGGATGCGCTGGTGGTTGATGAGGTTGGAGCTGACGCTGAAGCTCTTGCCGCACTCGGGGCACTTGTAGGGCCGCTCACCGGTGTGGGTGCGCTGGTGGCGCAGCAGCGTGGCACTCAGCGTGAAGGTCTTGCCACAGACGGGGCACTTGAAGGGGTCCTCACGCAGGTGCGTCCGCTGGTGCTTGATGAGCGTGGAGCTGTGGCCAAAGCTCTTGCCACACTCCAGGCACTCGTAGGGCTTCTCCCCCGTGTGAGTGCGCTGGTGCTGGGTCAGCTCTGAGCTCTGGATGAAGCTCTTGCCGCACTCGGTGCAGCGATATGGCTTCTCCCCTGCGTGGATCTTCTGGTGCTTGAGCAGGTTGTGGTTCTGACCGAAGCGCTTGCCACATTCGGGGCACTTATAGGGCTTTTCGCCTGTGTGTGTGGCCTGGTGCTGGATGAGGTCGGAGCTGCGGTAGAAAGCGCGCCGGCATTCGCCGCACTTGTAGGGCTTCTCACCCGTGTGGGACCGCTGGTGCTTGATGAGGTTGGTGCTTTGTGTAAAGGCTTTCTCGCACTCCGTGCACTTGTAGGGCTTCTCGCCCGTGTGCGTGCGCTGGTGCTGGACCAGATTGGAGCTCCAGCTGAAGCACTTGCCACAGTCGGGGCACTTGTAGGGCTTCTCGCCCGTGTGCGTGCGCTGGTGCTGCACCAGGTGCGAGCTCTGGGTGAAGCTCTTGCCGCACTCTGAGCAAGTGTTGGGCCGCTCCCCCGTGTGGATGCGCTGGTGCCGGAGCAGTTTGGACCACTGGCTAAAGCTCTTGCCACACTCGTTGCAGATGTACGGCTTCTCGGCCCCAGAAGGGCGGCCCTGCACCAGCTCCCGGAGGCTGGGTTCGCTGGCAGCGACTACTGGGGTGCTGTTCCAGGTGGTGAGGGTTCCCCACTGCCAATTGGTTTCACAGGCCTTGGTCCACTCAGAGGGGGAAGGGACTACCTCAGGAGCTGATGGGTCCATAGGAGTCTGGTGGTCTAAGGGGGTGGAAGAAGCCAGAGGGGCTGGGGAATCCTGAGGAGCTGAGGCATCCTGGGAGGGGTTCTCCAGGGGCATCTCTGGTGGGTCCTTGGATTCTGGACTCTGATCCGGATCTCCCAAGATGACCTCCTCCCCAGAACTTTCCTGCTGAGGACTCTCCTCTTCACTGCCGCTCTCAGTACCTACAGACAGAAAGGGAGTCTCCAGCCCCAGCTCCTTTCAGAACATGGGGTCTGATCTCTCTTCCCTCCCCTGTGACTGCCCAGAGTTTGGGCCCCTCCCTGAGCCAGGGTCACAGTCCCTTGTGCCCCTCACCTCCGTGAGCATTGTTCTGGCTCTCTTCAGGACCCTGCAGCTCTGGGCCCCACAGCACTGTCTCAGGCTCCATCCCAGAGCTCCCACAGCGGAGGTTCCAGGGACTCTGGTGGGAGAGATAAGCACACAATGCCACCTGGCTTTCTGCTTTTCTTTGTGCTCCTACTGAGGTGATGCTCAGTGACCTGCCACTCATGTTTCTGGCACCATCTCTCCCTGAGCCCCGTGGCCCCAGAGGCCTGGTTCCAAACACTGTAGATCTTAAGATCGCAATGAAGCAACTCAATGAATGTAAAGAGTCAATTAAAAACTCATCAGTCATAACCCTTTGTACCTAGATGGAAGGCTGGAGCTCTACCCAACATGGGGGGGGGGCGCTTTCACCCCACACATCCGATGCCCAGAGGCCTAGAAACGAGTTATTTTGCAAATCAGACAAAGCTCATTAAGACTCCAATTTTCTTCCTTTATGGGACTGCTAATTGAGACCAATAAACTTTTTCTTTATGAGCTCCACAGAGAACAACCAAGGCTTGCACTTTTTAAAGAGTTAAAAAAAAAAAGTTTCCCTTAAGGGACAGAGACTCACAAAGACCAGGGCACTTTGCCATTACCCAAGCACACAAAGAGGGTCGCCTAGGGTGGGAAGGGGAGGTCTGAAGTCAGGGAAGGGAAAGAGAGAGCAAAAGGGATGCCTGGCTTGGTGACGTACTTGGGTGATAAAAACTGGAAAATCAGAAGTTCAAGGTCAGTCTCCCAGCTACTGGAGGTCTTGTCTCAAACAAGATGAAAGAGAGGGGGGTGGGGAGGAGGCAAGGAGGTGAGCAAGCATGAGAATACCGGAAGGACAGGGTGCCCACCAAGTGTCATTACTTCTCTCACTGCCATGGAAACTCGGGAGTCATCTGTTCACTTTACAGATTAGTAGGGCAACACTGGGGGAGATGTCTCCAAGGCCCAGACTGGGAAGTAACAGAGCTAAAACCGCAAATGCAGTGTCCTGTGTTTGGCTTGCACCTAGGTCTGAAAACATCGAGTGACCTTGACAGTCAGGAGACTCAAACTTGTGGGCTACTGGCCGGAGTGTGAGGAATAGGAGTCTGAGCGGTAGGTAATGTTCTCCCCAAAGCCATCCATTGTTAGACACGCGCGCGCGCGTGCACACACACACACACAAACACACACATCCGGTGACCCCTCCTTTTGCTCTTGTCTTTCTGTCAGTGTTTTATCACACGCCTAGGAAAGGTGCCCAGGAAAATCTTTGTTGGGTGACTGAATGACCTAAACACCCTTTGCTCACGGAAAACCTATTTGGTTCAATGTCTTTAACGATCAGTTTGCAAAGGGACATCAGAAAAGAAAAGCAACTTCAGCGTGAGCCCCTGGGAAAGAAATCATCTGTCACTCTCAAAATCTCCGAAGATTTCCGGGAGATAGAACGGGGCCACAGGAGCAAAGTACAGGCAGGTGCTCACATTTACACATTTAATGGCCCTGGACCGGCCTAGACTTGGGGTGACAGTGGAGCCGGGGAGTTTGTGCACAGGGACAAAAGCTCTCTCCAGGAGCAGTTGCTTTCTGAAGCAGCTGAAGGAAGAAACAGCTTGCTGACCAGTGCTAAGGAGCAGCAGCAGAAGCGTAAGTTAGAGGAAAGAAAGAAAATAAGTTTCATCTCCACAGGCTCCTCCGGTCTGTGTCTTTAGGGAAGGAAGATGGAGACCACCGGAGGCGCCTCCCCGGATGGGAGAAAGGTACTCCGACGCCGAGCGGACCGACGACAGGTAGGAGCTGAAGTACTTGGACTGCCTGAGAAACTTAGGCTCAGGGGCCTACCTTAGAAGGGAAAGGGTTAATGACAAGGCCACATGCAAGAAGTAGCAAAGACAGGGAGGAGAGAACTACTGGGAAGCAGCCCAGGCCCGAGAGCGCCAGCCTCCGGCCCGGGAGGGCCCCCCGAGGACCGAGGCGGGAAGGACTGCCCGAGGCGGCCGCCTTCCCGCGGAGGTGCGCGCGGCCCAGGGTGACCCTGACAAGGAGGCAGCGGGACCGCCCTCG